AACATCAAAGCATTATTTTCAAGGGTTTCACTTTGATTACATCAAGGCACTTGCGGTCTAATCATGGAATTGGGCATCATAAGGTTTTAGTAAAGAAAATAAGATAGAAAGTTACACGATAAAAAAACTCTATGTGAATGGAATGGAATCAAATGTTCATTTAAATTATTCTTTTGTTTGGTATGTAATTTAAAGTGAGAATGATCATTCTATTAGAATGAAAATCAATTCCACAACTAAACTTATGTAATGACCATTCCATTCCCAAGTAATTTTTTTAAAAAATTAACTTTCCAAAAAACATTTATGTTTCAAGTTCAAAAACCATCACTACCTTCCACCATAAGTACCACCTCCGTCTTTCACCAAACCACCACCGACTTCCACCACTACCACCGCTGATGAGTGCTGAAAGATGCACATTTTGGCACTTAATCTTATGATTGTTAGCACTTTTGTCCTATTTTTATTCATTTATTAGTTGTTATATGCTTTATTGTCATTTTCAGGTTACTATAGTGAAAAAGGGTTCATTTTAGCACATTAAAGCCCTTTTGGAAGTCAACCAAACTGCAGCGAGGAAGGAACAACTGAAGGGATAAAAAAAAGTCAAAAGTCACCATTTGCGATCGATCGTATGGAAATTTGCGATCGATTGCAAGTCGGGCTGAGGATATTTAAATGCAACACCGGTTTTCATTTGAAAAATAACCATGGTGCACGCAATTGCTGACATTGGTGTACAGGGTCTAGTCTATTTTGGCACCTTAGAGTCAACTATAAATAGAAATTGAAGACTTTTTTGGGATATAGAAGGTTTTGGGTCAATGTTGAAGACTCTCTCTCTCTCTCTACCTTCTCTCTATGGTTTGATTTCAAGGAAGAAGAAGAAGAAGGTGTAACAAATTAAGTATGGAGATAGTGATTGAATCATTGAATATCATATCTACATCTCCATGACCGGCTAGCTCTCCACTTGGGGTTTGGATGAATCCTAAGTTTGTGTAATTATATCAATTAAACTTGATTTGTGGGGATTTTTAATTATATATGCTTACTTAGCCTTGAAGATTCATAAAATGGTTATACCAACTATTGATTTGCTAAATTCTTGTATCATTCTTTAATTCTCAATATATTGTCTTATGTGTAGTTGAATTGATGATTGATCTCTACATTGAATACTTTTTGTAATTGTATTCAATGATGGCCATGCAGTATTTTTCTATGGGTACAATTGGTATTGATTTGTTAAAATATGCTTATTCTTGATGAATCATACCACATCATTAGATTAGTTGTAGTTAGGTGGAAATTTCGTACTTGAATTTGATAGTTCATGCTTATTCATTGCAATTGTAGCATCTTGGTTCATATATGTGCGCTTGTAGCCATATCATTGGTATACAACTTAATCTCCCTACTAATTGAAGGTAATTGACGCATTTGTATGAGTTTAGTGGTGTAATCCATACCCCAAGTCCCTTAATCCCTTGTTCTCGATCCAACTTAGATTTACTGTTATCTCATTTGCATTACATTTAGCTTAATTTTAGAATTACTTTTAACAAAGCAACCAATTTTTTTTACAATCAATTATTCATTAATGATAAATTCAATTCAAGCCTACAGTCCTTGTGTTCAATCCCTATTTACTATACTTAAAATATAGTTGTATAGTGGTTTTATAAATTCAAAATTAGTGTTTTTCAAGCGTCTACATTCTACACTTTTAATTGCATTGATCGTGAGAACGCATCAACCGCCTTCCACTACCACCATCGCCACCGACTTTCACCACCACCCACCGCTTTCCACTGCCACTGCCTTTCACCACCGACACCGCCTTCATTTGCCGCAACTATCGCCGCCTTTCATTACAGCCACCACCTTCCACCACTGCCTTTCACCACCGCTGTTAGGTAATATTTTAATAAAATTAATAAATATATTAAATTATATATTAAGTTACATTATATTAAATACTATTTAATAGAATGATTTATTATATTTATTGATGAAATAATTATATTTAAATTCTTTATTTATGTTGCTATAACCGTTACATTCTTTTACACTATAAATAGATTATATGTTTATCATTCTAAAGGGTGAAGTATGAATACGTATATCTAGTGTGAGTGAGACTCTAAAAGAATAGGTTTCCATCTATCTATTATACTCTTCCATATATGTATATGTGTATACTGTACTTGAGAGTATTTTATATATTGAGTTTATGAACAACTAGACTTGTATAGACTTGGACCTAGTCTTCTTGTGGTCGTGCACATGGAGGAGACACCGCTGCGAGTTGATTGGCTTATATCTTGGAGTTGACTAGTTTCACCAATACTTGCACGAAGGGGAGGACTATCAACTTTAAGTCAATATGTTTACACATGTCTCAACAATCAGGCCAGCTCTTTCTTACCTATTTTATTATTGTTATTTTCATTCTTAATTTCTATTATTATTTTAATCTCATATATTTATCATGTTAAGTTCTTATTCATCATTATACCTATGTTGTTCAATTGATGTATTATACAGTTTTATGAAAGTATTTTATTTAATTATTCGTTGTTGTTGTTCATTTTCATTGAATCATTGTTGTATGTAGATTTTATTTATAAATATGTGAAATTTCCACAACAACCGCTACCTTCCACCACCGCTTTTCACCACCGCCACCACCTTTCACCACCACCGTCGCCATCACCTTTCACCACCACCGTCGCCATCACCTTTCACCACTGCTACCACCTTCTACCGCCACCACCTTCTGTCGCGACCACCATCGCCACCTTTCACCATCACCAGTGTCACCGCCTTCCACCACCACTAGCGCCATCGCCTTCCACCACTTCCATTAGCTTCAACGCCACCGCAACCGCAACCACTTTCCACCTACCGCTACCTCCACTGCCTTCCACTACCACCACAGTTACTTTCATTGGCTTTCAGCACAGCTACCTACACCACTATTTCCTTTCACCACCACACTACTGTCACAGCCTTCCATCAACACCACTGCCACCGCCTTTTACCATTGCCACCATCGTCACATTCTAACTCCACCACCTACCACTTTCCACCTCCACCACCATCCACTACCGCCACTGCCATAATTTATTTTAAAAAAATTATAGAAGAATGTCATTTTGTTAATTTAATTTATTTGTTACTAAGAGTGATATTTTGGATAACTCAATTTGAAATTTATTCTATTATAAATTTTAAATTGATACAACCAAACATAGAATAATTATTATCAATTTTATTCGTACACATTTCATATTTAAAACCAAATAATAAAACAAGAATGATTATTCTATTTCATTCCATTTCTGTACATCAAACGCAGCATAATTGTTAGTGTTATAATATTCTAAACAATTTGGAAGTACTAAATCGATGTATTAGATTTGAAATTCGAAAAAATTAAGTATAAAGTTTGAATTAAATTTTATTTAATTTAAAATTCAAAGTGTCGATGATTCCAAACATGGGACGAGAAAATAATTCCCATTGACATATCAACCCAAATCAACCCTACTTAGGTCAGACGGAGCCAAACTAGTGTACAACTTTTCCTTTCATTAACCTCTGTAGAAGATGACACGACCTATACCAGAAAAGAAACATTATCACAAAAGCAGCCAAATAAAAACATGTAAAATGTTTATTGACAAAACCGTACAAAAATAGACTAATAAGGAGTGAGTACCAAAAGTAGTAGTAAAAAAGTTCCAAAAAAGTTAAAATTTTATTAAAAAAAATAATTATAGTATTATAAAAATTAAAAAAATATTATATTAATGAGTTTTCTATTGTCTCATAATTATTATTTTTATTTCTTATTTGAAATACAATTTTTCAGTTCTCATGTTGTGAACTTGTTATAAATGAATTATCATGGAACACAAGTCTCATTTATTAATGTATATTTTTCATCTTAGGCCTCAAATTGTATTAAAACAGTTTTGTCTATTTTGTGACTCAGTGACTCAGATTTTAAAATAAATGAATTATGAAAATTTTACAATAGGTTCACAGAAAGAAAAAAAAAAAGTTTAAATTACTTTGTTCTAATTGTTACCAATTTGGATTTGTCTTCTAACAAATTACAGTAGAGCTGAATGCTGATAACATTGATCTCGTGCCACCGGCCACCGGCCACAACATCCTCCACTCCACAGCCTTGTTCCCACCAAAAGTGTAGATGGATTTGTTCAAACCGCTGACCATATTGAAATGATACATTTTGGTTCAATTTTGAGGGTTAATTATTCGGTTTTGTTTCATTAAAAAATAAAATACAAAATACATAGAATTATTAAGATTGATCTGGCTGATAATTTATAGATATAAAATTGAACTAATAATTGGTAATTTATACATATTTCTTTTTCATTTCATTGATTTGTAATAGTTATACACGTGCGTAACATATATGTTCTATTGTTATTAACATAGTTTGAAAAATAAAAAAATTAAACTCTGAATAAAACAATTTGGTTTAAATTATAATTATTCTTTAATAGATTGTTAAATTGTTATATAAAGTAGAACATACTTTGAAGTTTGATGCTAAAAAAGATTGGAATTGTCAACTATCAATCATTACGAGTTATTAATTTTAATTATCGAAATAAAAAGTGCATACTAAAATAGATTTTGATTTAACATACTCGTGATTAAGAGTGGAGTGGAGTAGTTGTACATTTTTATCTTTTAAAATTTAAATTAAAGATCCAATTTAAAAACAAAACAAAAGTGACATCATGTTATTTGTGGGAATAAGATAAAAATAGGAAAAAGGGTAGATTTTACTTTTTACTACTTTAATTTCATGAAATAGATTTGAAGAAAATAAATAAATCATGAAATAGATGTATTTTTAGAAAGAAAAATGATTGTATGAAACAATAGTTGAAACGAAATAATCAAAACAGAAACTCCTACCAATATAATCAACCACCAGCATATGCGTATCCTGTACAACTGTAATTCCCGCGCCTCCATTACTGTGTCTTTGTCAACTCCCTACTAGGGAGTCCCTAGTAGTGTATGTATATTGTATGTATGGTATATCATATCATATGTGTGTTATTACACACATATATTCATCTCTCATAAGCATCCACTGCAGTAACAATAATTTACATTCCTTTTTCCTTTATCAATTGTTCTTTCAGGAAGGTTGATTCATTTTCTTCAATCGTTCGTTCATCTTCACACTTCTCTCGAATTTCCTCTCTTTCTCTCTCTAAAATCTCCATGATTCACGCTTACTAAATACGCCACGCATGATTGCCGTCGCGAATTCTCTGTTCGCACCCTCTAATGCTTTCACAAAACTCATCACTGTACGCTATTATTCCGGTTCAGTGGTCCGTTCCGATCTAGGGTTTGGATCGGAACTTGGCGCCAAACAATATAAGGTATCACTGGATCGGAAGAGTAACGAGATGGAACTGATTCGAAAATTGAGCAGAGGTTGCTTCATGGTTCGGTCAATGAAGGGGGTTGAATCCGTCAACCACGACGAAGATGGATTCGATGTGGCCTCGGCAGAGTCAAAGGTTCGCCCCGAGCACCTTATAATCATGGTTAATGGGATTATTGGGAGGTAAGATTGTTTATGAACATAAACTAGTGTAATAAAATGAAATTAATTACATGTTTAAGATGTATAGTTTTCTAATTTCCCGAATTTTTTGTGTTTATTGCAACTCATGTGTTATGCAATGTTGTTATACATTTGGGTTGTTGGGAACTTGTTTGGCCTTTGTTTGGAATAAGATAGAGTTGTCATTAAACAGGATTAGAGAAATGACAATAATCTGTGTCATTACTCATTAATGCCTTGAAGTATTTTGAGAAATTTGTATTAAATGTCAAACTCAAAGTGGTCCACAACAGGATAAAGAGAGATGTTGCACTGAAAATGGGTTTCAACTCTTTAGGTTTTTGTTCTAACATATATGACTTGTGCATATACTTATTTATTTTTTAATGAGTTCATTACTAATCTCAATGACATATTCAACAACTTATCACTAGTTGATTCACATCTTGATGCATTTTGGACCAGAAATCTCTCACTGACCATAGTCATTGTTTAATCCCTTTTGAAAATGGCCATTGAGTTGATAATTCTCTGCGTTCTCCACTTTCCTCAAATACTTGCACATACATGTTATTACTTTCTAAACATTAATCTGAAAATAATTTTATTTATTTTTAACATGGGTCTGGTACTTCTTAAATATTCTGAGACACATGTCTTTAGTATTATAATGTAGCAATTCAGTATAATATTATAGTATTGATGTTAGGAAAAGCACAACAAGGGTTTCGAATATTTAGGAGATACCAAAGTAGGTTTTAAATTTATGTACATTTAGAAGACTGATCATGATGTCATTTGTCATTTTACTTTGGATAATTTGTAACTGATATTGGCTTTATTTTTATTAGGATGATTACCAGGTTAGCAAATTATTGAATATATTGTGTTTGGCATTTTTATTTTTTGGAATTTATGGACTGCAAACTATGTGATGGCTTTTAAAACTATTTCTTTGCATATCGTTACTGTTCTTGGATATTTAGAGGTTGTTAAATAATTTTATCACAGTCCAAGGGCCTAAAAGAGCATTGCATTTTCAGATCCTGGTGTTCAGGGTGCGACAGTAGATATGAAGATGGATTGGAATATGGTTCAATACTAAGTTTCATGAAGGAAACAAAGAAATAAAATGTAAGTAATGGGTAGAAATTCAAGAATCCAATAGATTAAAGAGCGAAAAGATGATGGTGGCTTCTAGGGTTTTAGCAGGACCAGAGAATGTTTAAGAGGTGTAGGTTTGAGGACAAGCGTTTTATGGAATTTTAGTTGGGCAGGGCAGAAATGAGTTCCCTTGCAAACAGATTTGACCAGCTTCAAAGCAGCTGCATCAGAAAGATTTTGAAAATTGAAAGTTCAAGGAAAGTGGTGAAGTGCTCCCACTTTAGTAGCGTATGTGCAAACAAAATATGTAAAAGCAGATCTTCCTGTTTTGCATTGTTGTTTGCAGGAGTTATGGTGATCACTTCTGTTATTTCTATTTTTTATATTGGTTATTTCTAGACACTAAAGCCATTTTATCCAAGTGATTAATTCATTAGTTTTTCACATGGCATTGAGGGAGGGTGTGTTTTATGGTTCATTTGTCACCTTTTGATAAAAAATAGTGCTCGCTTGTAATCTAGAGCAGCGTGGGAGACTTATGCAAGTTGGTATAGGAAGTTTGCGAGGAGATAAAAACAGGTTCTATGTATTTGGTGTTATGCAATGATAAGAAGAGCTTTAGTTTTGGGCTCTTGGAGAATGTGATTCTTGAGATCAACAAAGTGTTCTGCATTTGTTGTTGAACTGATTTTCTGGAATTGTTTTACCACATTCTTCTTTTGCAAGGTGTTTGCTTGATTAGTCTTGTCATCAGGGCTTTTCTTTTATCTTCTTCTTTTTCTTTATATCTGCTGGATCCGTCATATATGATTATTTTGCGTCACTCAGGTTATCTTTTGCCGACCCAATTCATATGGAAAAAAGGCAAAAAGGCAAGGATGATGATGACTTAGGTTAGCTTTGATAACAATCTCTCTTTTAGGAAAAGAAAAGGAAAAGGAGAAAGTTAAACTTAGGATGGACACATACTTGGTCCATTTTCTTATTTCACAATTGGCTATGATATCAAATATTATAATTTTTGAACACATGAAATAAAAAATCATGGAACACATACTAGGTCAATGGTCATCCTATTACATTGTTCTAGATTTATAACCATTATATATAAAAAGGGCTTCATAATCACACACACACACATATATATATATAATTTTTTTTTTTTTTTTCATTTGAGAAATCTTCTCCTGAAAAGTGAAGGCAATTTGTTGTATTTGAAATATCACTTTCTGGTGCAATGGTATAAACTCAGACTGACTTGATAAGCGTGAGATTGCAAATTCGGGTAATGGAGCAGCCACTTTTTTGGGAAAAAAAATGCAAAAGGTTAGGTCTGGCTCTAGTCCTCTCCTCCTAGTAAACTGTTTGTGCAAGATATATACTAGGTAATATAGATTAACTCAACTGCATGTGGAGATACTGTAGATTCTGTTTTCTCTTATTACCTTTTTTTTTTTTTTTTTAAAGCCTCATTTTCTGTTCCCTATCTTAAACTTAAAGCCATGCTTCATTCATATTTTCTTTTCCGTTTATCTTCTTGATGCTCATCCCTTCAACATTTTCTGCAAATAGTCTGCTCTTCTTCGTTGACTCTCAATTTATTTTATTAGTGCTTGTGGTTTACTTCTAATTTTTCTTTTATGCTGAATTATGGTTTTGAATTTCCTAGTTTTGCAACTCATCGAAATATTAAATATAAATTTGATTTGGTAGTGAAATCACTTCTTATACAATTTAGTAATGGGTCTGCATGAATGTTATTTATGTACTCGTACCATTTCCCCAGTGCTGCAGATTGGAGATATGCTGCTAAGCAGTTTGTTGAAAGGCTTCCTGATAAAGTTATTGTTCATTGTAAGTGCTCTTCTTTGCTTGCAGTACTTTCGCATGCATTTGATGATTCTGGCCAATCGTGTTGGGGGCTTATTAGAAACATGTGTAATCTTTTTTTTTTTTTTTTTTGAAAGGTAAAAACACGTGTTATCTTTTTCTCATACAAAAATACATTTTCCATAAAATTTTCTGCCCTACATGTCCCTTTTTGGTTCAAGATCCCTGTGTAGGTGTAGCTGGGAAGATGCTTAACATTTAAACATTCACGTATGTGTGATGTGTACGTATGCATCTATGTCCTTGAAATTTAAGTGCCTTATCAATGTAAGTTGTTGTATTTAAATGAATATTGGTAAAGTTATTTGTGTTTACATGACTGCAAGGTTGCATGCATCCTATTGCTATATACCCTAGACAATCAGCAAACTATTGTCCTTGTCTTTGTTGCGGGCATAGTTTTCGGTTAGGGATATTTCTTCTTTATGTTTCCTTGACAGGCTGATCTTCTTAGGATTTCCCTTCCTTTTCTTACTCATGTTTGCATATAGCCCTTTTTCTGATGGATTATTGGCCTTTGTGCTATGGTTCATTTCTTCTTTAGATTTCTTGATCACGTAATTGAAATAATTCATCCTTAAATTATTTAATTCTCTGACTTGTCGCTCCCTTTTGTTGTTTGCATTTAATCAACTCTCTGGCTGCCAATTCAGTCATACATCTTTATGTTGTTCTTTTTTCTTTACTTTTGTCGGTTGACATGCTACGGAAATTGTCTTTGACTTGATTTTTATGAGCAGGCAGTGAGTGCAATAGTTCAAGATTGACTTTTGATGGTGTAGACAGGATGGGTGAGAGGCTAGCTGAAGAGGTATTCCACATTAGTATTTTTTTATCCTCATATTTCTTGGCATGCTTTGATTATCATTCACTCCCTTAGACTTGGCTATCGATTTATTTTCAATTTCTTACTATGGATACAAATTTAAACACTTATCTACTTTTTCTGTGCAGGTGTTGGCCGTTGTCAAGCGTTGGCCTGAGGTGCAGAAGATCTCCTTTGTGGCACACTCTTTGGGTGGCCTTGTTGCAAGGTATGCTATTGGGGTACTGTATGAAAATTTTCCCAAAATGGGATCCTCAGATCTTACTGGGAGCTACTCGTGTGGAGAGCATTTAAATAATTCAAAGCGAGATCTTAAGCATCATTATGATGGTAGAGTTGCTGGACTGGAACCTATGAATTTTATAACATTTGCGACACCACATCTTGGTTCAAGGGGACATAAACAGGTAGATCAGTTGTGCTTATATATACTTTTTTTTTTTTTTTTTTAATTTGAGTTCTATATTAATTTTCAATTTTTTTGTGGCATCTGTGATGCCTTCTTTTGTATTTTAGTTGTTAGATTTTAATTTAATCATATTGCTTTTTTCTATCATAGCATGGATTCTGGAGAATGATGAACATAAGGGAAAAAAATATTATTGACTGTCCTTACGAAAGACTAAGTTGTGGTTTTGTGGTATCCATGTTCTCATATTTCAGTTAGTGTATTGTTCCAAATTTGTATGCCTTAGAACCTGGTGCTGCTTTAGGAAGTTATTCTTTCTATTATTCTTATACTCTTACTTTGAGAATCCTTCTGTTTTAGGCTATTCAAATTTTCATTTAAAAATTTTCATTAATACTTTCAAGCATATTTCAACAGTTGTCCTTTACCTTGTTTTTACTTCCACAGCTGCCATTCCTTTGCGGCCTTCCTTTTTTGGAAAGAAGGGCTCCTCAAACTGCACACTGGATTGTTGGGAGATCCGGGAAGCATCTGTTCCTTACAGACAATGATGATGGGAGACCCCCCCTTCTCCTTCAGATGGTTAATGACTCTGATGACCTAAAATTCATGTTAGTATTGTTTTCTTTCCAATATACTGTCTGCAGATATTAAAAAATTTTAATTTTAATTTCTGCTTGTTTGGTAATAGCATCATTTATAACCTGTATAGGTCTGCTTTACGCTCTTTTAAGCGTCGTGTAGCGTATGCAAATGCAAATTACGACCGTATCCTTTTTCCACTCAATTTAGCTTTTGAACTTTGGTTTCTTGTGCAAGCATTGCATTTTCTTTTACCCTCTATGTAATTCAATGCTTAACTCTACTGATTTTTAAGATGTGGTTGGGTGGAGAACATCATCAATCCGCCGTCAACATGAACTTCCAAAGGTTGGTTTGTTTCTCATTCATGCATTTCTCTGTGTCACATGACTGTTCACTGTTATGCATCCCTTATAAAGGCAGAGCGTCAGTGAATATTCTTTGTTGTTCTCTTTTGTAGTCTAATCTTCTTGTAAAGGATGAGAAGTACCCGCATATTGTATATATAGAGCCAGAAACTACTGAAGACATCCATAATAAAGCAATATCCATGGTTGAAAAACAAGCAAAAGACTTGGAAGGTTTGTCAAAGTTCATTTGCTTCAGGAAGTATATTCATGTTGATTAAATCTGCCCGATTGCTTTTTTGATGAAATTTGATTGACATATAACCATTTGGTTAGATGGTGGAGCATGATGTTTTGCTAAGGGATCCTTTCCCTTCAAGCTTAAGTAACAGAAGATGTTGTTTTTATGTGGAAGTAAAATTAATTGTCAATAAGGAAATAGTAAAAGATATAAGATTGAAAATAAAATGTAGCAGATACAGGATATGTTTTTCTTAACACATATTCTTTCTTGTTAATTTTATTCTTATTTGTGTAATTTTGTTTGAGCCTTGAGCTACCTCTGCGGAATCAAACTTAAGTTTTCACCTTGTTTACTTATTAGTGCATATATTTACTTTGAAGTTTTTAAATATCTGGGGTGACTAATACGACCTGAAGTTGAGAATCTGAAACATTGGCACATAAATGTATTTGTGAATCAATGTATGACTTAGCTATGCTCATAAACATTGAATGGCTTTCATCAGTAGAAGGTAAAACTTTGCCAGAGGAGAAGGATTAACATTCATTATAATCTAAAAAGGATTATAGTTTAATGGAAAGGTGTACCCTGTTGCAATGCGAAAAAAATAATCAATTGGCAGTTTCTAGCCTGAGGCTTTCCTAATTAGTTCAAGGTCTTGCACAATTTACCTAAGTTTCATTTATAATCGTGACCTCCAGCTGATGCCAATCTTAAAATGTTTTCAATTTACTGTGCTAAAATGTCAACTTGTTGATCGATGAAATATCTATTGGGCTTGTCTGAAGAGGTTCTGTTGGTATAAATCTAAATGATTATTGCAGCCTGAAGAGGTTCTGTTGGTAAAAATCTAAATGATTATTGCAGCTGGCTTCTTATACATGTTAACATTGTTCTATTCCATATACTTTGGAATACAATTTTGCTTTTTCAGGTTTTTATAATCACTTTATTTTTATATGCAGAGGAGATGATTAGAGGTCTCACTCAAGTACCTTGGCATCGTGTTGATGTTAGCTTTCACAAAAGTAGACAACGATATATTGCGCACAGTACCATTCAGGCAAGCTCTTGAAACTGGGCAGTTTTATTGTTGCATGTACTGCATTTAATTTATTTTTAACACACTTAAACTTCTACTTTCTTAGATTTTTTGGTATCATGATACGGAGACACCCTTTATTTGAGAATGTGCATTCCTCTTTTTAAAGATGTTACACCTCTTGAACTGCATTATGCACAATTTATTAAGGGCTAAATTTTTTTTTTTGATGCCAATGTGTAAGTTATTTGAAGAGTAATTGCTAAATAATGATCATTTTTTCATTTAAAATATGAAATGTATGCATAATTATTCAAATGCCCATGAATAATTGTTTCTTGGATGCTATCTTAGACGCCAAGACTTGGGAATGGCCTAAGGTACATATCACGTATAACCGATCATGTGGGTTGCTTTAGCTCTTTTTTTTTTGGCTAGACATGGAACTTCAGCCTCCCAAAAATATATGTTGGAAATCTAACCATATACCACATGGCGGAAGGTGACTTAGCACCTGCATAATCACTTTCCCTTTGTGGCCTATGGTGCAGACTGCATATTCTATATAACTGGTTATTGAGTGACTTGCCTTGATATTTTTAATTTAGTTACAAACAATTTTTGGTATAAAAGATCCACTTTGTACAATGGAAAACAAAAATTAATAGAATAATAGAACTAATTATACTATAAAAAAGAATTAAGTATAGATACATCATCATCTTACTGATTACAACTCCAATCTTATTTTGGGGGGAAGAGAGCGGATTTATTCTTGTTTTCACTTTTTTTTGTAAAAAAAATATATTTTCCATTTTTTTGTACAATATTCAAATTCTTTATATTAAAAAATAGAACTACTGCTCAATGTTAACAAGCACCTGCACTGAAACATTACAGTGATAGAGATAGATTTTAACTTAAATATGTATATCACTGAGACACGCCCTCGTGTGAAGCCAAAATCTTCTTATTGAGCCAAAAATGAGTCTTCATCATCCTCTTGATTATCCCTACCTTGGTTAAAGTTGAATGAGGTCAGTCACATGAATTCTCCTCTCCTACACTTTTTTGTTTTTACTAGAGGCTATTTCTCCTGTTGTATCTCATTTCTCAATGTATTTTCTTATTCTCCATTTCATTTTAATATTGGTCCACCTCCTTGCCCCTTGCCTTGTGTTTTAATTAGTATTTCCTTCTGCTTTAGTGCAAACTCTTAATTCTCTTTAACATGTTCATTATTAACACGATTTCTTCTAGTTACCATATCATCTATCTCCACTTTTTTACTTCAGCAATATTAGATGCATTGTTCTTGTTTAGTACCCAGCATTCTGCTCCATATAAATTGGTTACCTTGATTAGGACCTTTAACAATTAGTTATTTTGAATGCATAGCTAATAGAGTGGGATGTCACTTAGTTACGACCGCTATAACATTACTTGGGGCTGGAAATGAACTGAGTTGAGCTGAACCGAGCCAAGCTTGGGAATGTTTGGGCTCGGCTCGTTCGTTTGTGGGCTCAGCTTGGGATCATGACGAGCTCGAAAGCTGATCTCGGGCTCGGCTCGTCATTATTTTGAAAAGCTTGGGCTCGCCTCATTTAATAACAAAAGCCGTTCGGGCTTGATTTGAGCTTGTGCTCATGATCGTTTTGATTATACGAGGCTGTGTTCATGAACATGATTATGCGCTTACGTTCATGAACCTATACAAGCCTATATTTATGAACGTGTTCATGAACCTATATGAGCCTGTGTTCACGAACATACACGAGCTTATGTTCACGAGCTGAGCCCAATGTTGTTCGAGATTGGCTCATTTACTAAATGGGCCTAAAAATCAAGCTCGAGCTCGGCTCATTTGCTTAACGAACGAGCCCGAGCTGTGCATGAACAACTCTGTGCATTTGCAGCCCTAACAGTACCTATCACCTGGATCCAGGGTAGTCCAACTAATTAATTAATCAACCAAAACCCTAAGTCTGTAAAAGTTTCTTTCACTTTTATGTGATTGAGTTTGATGAAATATCCAAGTTGATAAATGGACAGAATCCATCTTCATCTTCTAATCTTCTTTCAATCAATGTTTTTCCATGGTAGGCAGACCCACACAAGATTCGTGCTAATATCTGCTCAACGCTACAAACAATCTGCTACGGTATTTTGCCAACACTGACTCAAATCTTAGCAGTCTCTCCCATTGTTGTGCATAAGCACTTACCAGAATGCTTAGGGGATCAATTCCAACATTAGATATATCCTGTTTTTGATTGGAAATTTATCTGTCTCTTCTTTGGATTCCTTTCAATGTGGAGACTCCATTGTATGTCTCCATATCTATTAAGTTTTCAATGAACTTCTAATCCTTTCCGCTTAGATAAGTGAGAACAATTAGTTACTGTTTTTCCATGAGCCTCCTTGGATGATTACCATTTTCTAGAATGATTACCAAGACCTTGCTGGTAATTTATTTGATATTAGTTTGTCCTTCCTATGTACCAAACGTATTGTGCTATTGTCATGCAAGATGAAGGTTACTGACCATGCTATACATTTTTCCTTTACTTTTTTCCTGTTCTCCTTTTTCCTTTCCCTTCTTTCTTCTCCATAAATTCAGGTGAAAAGCTATTGGATGAACTCTGATGGTGCTGATGTGGTTCTCCACATGATAGATAACTTTCTTTTGTGACTATCTACACATTGGTGTCTTGCAGTGGGCAATCCGGTGATGGGTTAGATTACTTGTTCCTTGTTTATCATGTATATTGTCACACATAATGACCACTGTATGTTATAATGCCAAATTTGGAAACATAATGATTTTTGCCGAAATTTTCATACATATATCATTTTTAGCATATTTTGTGTAACATTTTGATGTGGCCCATCTTAAGAGGGCCCAATGCTAACCAGTGTATCTAAAAGTAGATATCCTTAAGTTTGTGTGGAATTACATTCAGCAGTTACTATAAGAATTCATCAGGTTCACTTGTTTTTTGTTATTGATTTTCAATCAATTTTTCAGTGTGTTGGAAGACTAATCTGTGCGTTTGAGCAATCTTCATGGAGCATTGTCTACCTCGAAATAAACCACACAAACTTTAAGAGTTCCCAGTTGATCAGACACAACTATTTTGTTGGGGTTGGTCTATCAAAATCAATTTTGTCAGCAGAACCCTTTATTAATTGAAACATACTGGTTAATTTTAAAATGTTTGATTACCATTAAATATTTGTCACCCTTTTTCCTTTTTGCTTCAATTTATTTTGTTTTGGCAAGTGACCTTGAAAATTAAAATTTTAGAACAATTAAGTCACTAACACTGATGCAGCCGCGCGGTAAGCACAAAGCAAACTATTCTTACGCCTTTTACTAAAGAATACCGTGTGCTCACTGTTGATAGTAGCATACACCAGTCTTTGGAAGGGCCTTTTCTATGGGAATGTCTCCATAGAAACAAAGTCACTAACTTGATTAACCAAAATTTGGGCTTTGTTTTTTTGAAAAAAGGTATATCAAGTTGGATTTTGTTTTTGCAGACTTCAGTGTTTTTAATTGTGCCTGTTGGAGCATAAGATATCATTTATTGATTGGGGCTCTCAGTAGTGGAGACAGATTAGTTATTGTTTTGTGAACTTGACGGAATGAAACAACTTGATACATTACAGTCGCCTATGGTTTCATATATAGGCATCAGACAGTATTGCGATATAATATTTATGGGATATATTTAGAAAGTCGCCAGTCAACAATCCTTCTTGTTAATATAATACTTGGAAATACATATGATTACTCTTAGCCTATTGATCTGCCCCTTGACTCGAGATGAGGTAATGTGAAGCGGATTCTTGGGCGACACATGCCAAGGAAATGCTATCATATCATGACTTAACATATACATCTCAAGTCATGAGTTGTTTGTTAAAATTTGATACTTTTAACTTTAAGATTTTGAAATATATATATATATCTCACTACTACTTACCCATAAGAATAACTTCATGACTTGGGCATTTGAGAATTAATAATTAAAATGGGATGCCATTACTTTTTAAAATAAAAATAGAATGATCTCTCTCTCTCTCTCTCTCTCATGTTTTGCCTTCTACGTTTGACGATGAGTACTCTTATTTATTTGTTCTTTCACCAGTCTTATATTTTTGTTTGTTATCTGTACAATTTATTTTTAATCCATATCATAGTCTGTCCTCATGCCGAGACTTGCGGAGACTGTAGAGCAACATACCCTGGCGCTTGGCACCCATGCCATATAGATAGATAACATAGCAGGATGGTTTGTGCAAGTCAGCAGAGTCAATATTTGTATTCAGTTTTGTGGATAACATGTAGAATGATGGTGTCTTCAAATCTGTTTAAAAAATATAATTTTGCTATTCCATATGGAGACTACAGTAGGTTAAGATAGTTTGAGTCTTCTTCCATAGTCTTGAGTATTACATTTATTAGTTATGTTTCTCTTCTTGTCCATCTTTTTTTGGGTATTCTCTCTTAGTTTGGTGATAATCAGACTGATTTAATTGGCAAATGACAGGCTTATGTGACATGTCTGTTAAGAAATTTTAAATGTGCTAAAAGGAAGGGTGGATGGCCAAATTGGACATATAGAATTAAGGAGAAGAAATTTGGCATCCTTTGCTTTAATCACATCACTGTGTTGGCCTTCAACTGACTAAGAAAGGATAGGGTCTTTGCCCATCTCGAATGGCTATGAACTGGATTATATATATAGGAATGTGATTTGAGGCATTATTTGCTTTGGCATAAGATTAGTGGATGTCAACTTTCATGTTGATACTTGTTTAGGAAGTCCTTTTTAAAGCAAATTATGCCTAACTGCCTCAACAGACTACCTTGATTTCCTTGAGAAATTATGTTCTGTTGCATGCTTGAATATGAATCTAAGCCATGGATAATGAAACAAATAAGCTATAGCCTATGAAAAAGTAAGTAGAATACCTGAATAATTTCTTCCTTCATCAAATATTTTTTTCTCAAATGTGTTAGTTTACTTATCAAGATCGTTTGAGCAAACAAAAACAAATCAACACCAGTTGAGTGAAATCCTAACCTTATGTAATATTTCTTTGATCTTCTCTTATGTTATTACATTCACAGATTGTGGTTACTATATAATGTGCTTTATGTTTCTTCTTTTAGGGACCATCAAGAACCTCTCTGGAGCCGAATTTAGAGACATGAGAGCTAAGAGGAAGAATAGTCATTCAGGTTATTTTTATCGTTGTCATCTTTCTATCCTAAGCTGCATAATTGAAAAATGTTGTTGACCTTACTAGCAATTTGTGCTTTGATCAACATTTCAGATTAGGTTTAAGACCACCATTCAGTTTATTTAAAAAAAATTTCCGTTGACACTGACTTCCTTGTGCTCTTGTTTCTTTGGATGAATCAGTTGATTCTTCCTCCCCGGGACTTTGCTGTAGTGGAACCAGAATTGGGTAATGCCCCTTTTATTTTCAATTCTTCTTCCAGCGCACCTGATATAACTTTTACAGACTAGTCACTATGGTTGATTTAGGAATAAGTAATCCAAAATCCATAATCATGATCAGCTCCTCTGCAGATTTTGATAGTTCTATGACATGTGGACGTTACCTCAATTACCTGAGTTTTTGCCACGTACAATGGTGGGAATCCGATATCCTGCATTGTCGGGAGAGCATGGGACAATCTTTTAGCTTTCAACCTATAGAGTCACATCCTCTGCAAAAGCTTCATTTTTCTTGTGGTTTCGTTGATTGTATGCTTGGACACAAGCATTTTGCTTTCCGTTATCCCAAATTGACACAAAGGTTTATGAAAATATTCTGTATTGGAAGAAGGAAGCTTGCGTGTTTGATGAACTCGGGTGCTGATAGGTAAGACTTGCCTGGTCTTCAAAGCAGCCTGACAAATCAAGGTCATGCAACATGCAACATTACTACTAGCTTGAAAGCTTTGATGAAACTCGTCTCAATATTTGCTACTTCATGTAATCATCAGATTCATTGAATTGAAAGCTTTATGGCAATCATCCAAGTTGATGTTTTCATCAGATTCAAATTGCACAGCATGTTGATCTCTTTTTTTTTTTTTTTTTTTTTTTTGAAACCATTGATTTTAAAAGATCTCCAATATTGTTATTTGCTACAGCGACAAACAGAAATCATTGCATTTTTTTATATTTTAATTCGGAAATATGCTTTAGTTTAACATATGATAGGGAGTTTTACCCTTTTAGTTTTTAGATCGAGAATCCTGGAGATAACTTCTATTTCCTCTGTGTAAACTAGTCTGGGAATTTGTCCTACCCTCTTTTACACAGTTTATGGCAATGTTCTGAATTGAAAACTTTGATGTCCTCTAATTTATGTTTGAAGCATGCCTTCTTCCCGCCAACACACCTCAAAAAAATAATGAATAATGAGATTAAATGCATAAATCACAACTTCGTATTATGCTATAGTAGACATTTCTTGCTTGCATCCCTTTAAAATAAAAAATAAAAAAAATAAAAAAACAAAGGTGAGTTTTAGTAATATGTTTTCTGTTTTCAGCCCCTAAAAGGGCAAAACATAAACAAAAATCATGTTTAATAATATGTTTTTGTTTTTCTATAATAAAAAACGTTTTTTTATTTTTGTGAAAAAAGGAGAAAACATAAAAAAAAGATATGTTTCTCATGTTCTGGACACTATTGAGCAAAAAAGTTTCCACTATTATTACTATTATATATACGTAGTTCATTTCAAATAAAAGGTATGTTATTCATGTTACATAATAATGGCTACATATTAGATACTAATAAAAGTTATATTTTTAATATATAATTATATTGTATTAAATATCAGTGTTAATTAGTTTTTATTTAACAAAAATATATTTTAAAAATATAATATATTATATAATATTGTAAATTATTTTTTGGGACAAAAGAAATGATTTATTTATTATTTATTTTATCTAATATTATTAAATTATTATGCAACACATATAATATATTGTTATATACCATATCTACATTATATTAGAAATATATTATTTAACATTTTTATTTATTATAATATAGTATATGTTAAATATATTATATAATAAATGTATAGATGATGCATATGCATACACTTATATACAAAATTGGTGAGAGTTTTTTTTTGGTCCTAATATACCTTATTTTGTACTTATGTATAGGGTATTATTAGGATTTGTGATTTTAAATTGAATATTAATTATAGTTTATTATCCTGTATTGGGTATTTTTAATACTTGTTAAATAATTAAATTGCATACATATTTAACGCTTTTTGGTAATAATGAATTAAATTAAAAATTATATAAAATAATTTTAAAATGTTATGTACATTTGTAACAAATATGTATTATTAAACAATGTTATTGTTTTTTCGCTTTTAAAATTGTGACAACAACAAATGTTAATAAGGCTTGTTTGGCATGCGCTGTGTTTTATGCTTTATGTTTTGGTATTATGCATTATGTTTTTGATCAATACCAAAACAACCATTTTGTTGTAGGAGTGTTTTGGATAAAAATCAAAACCATGTTTGGTAAAGAAAATTTGTTTTGAAAAATTCCAAAACTTGTTTTACTTCCACTGCTATCGTACCAAAACATACAATATTACCAATTTGGTGATATGGGTTTTGGCAAAAAAATATGATATATTATCAATTATTTTAAACCAATATCAACCGTCCTAAATATGATATGAGTCCAAATTTAAATACTAATATAAAAAAAATAATATCATAACACTTTTCAAATAGGCCAAAAATGTCATTTTTGCCTTTTCTTGTCAATCAAGAAAACAAACTTATGTTTCTACTTTACTGAGGTTGCAAAAACAGAAACAAAAACTTTATCGAATGCACCCATCAACAATGCTATAGGGAACTAAATATTTTTAGACGGATTAAACAGTGTAAATTCAAACTAATCAATAGGTATGATCTACGTAAGAGGATTGCTAGTTACAGTGTGCATGTGAATGTAAAAGGACAGTTGCGTTTCTCACTACTACTTTCTCATTGGTTGAAAAACCAATATTAAAAGGTATAATTAATATATTTTTTCTATTTTAATGAAACTTTAAAATTTAACATTTTAGGACTAAATTAGCCTTTAAAATTCTAACTTCTTTATTTTCTTTCCCGTTTGTATATACACATGTATATAACCTTCATTATTTACCTTTTTGTACAATTGTCTTTATATATATATATATATATATATATATATATATATATATGGTAATATATATGTGCGCGCACGATGATAGAATCTTTAGTTTTCATCATTAGTAAGTTTTAATTAAAGTACTATTATGAGATTGAGTTTTAATTAATGTGTAAAAGAAAAATAAGTATGGTTTCATAATTCATATACGATATGGTTAACTATATATGTTTATATATATATATATATATATATATATATATATATATATAAACAAATAAAAGGAAAAGAATTGAAAAAAAGAAAAAAGAAAGGAAATAATCTATTCACATCAGTTTTTTTTTTCTTCTTCTTTCCGTTCACACAATATTGAGTGACACATATACATAAATAAACAGTTAAGAACTATTAAAAAAAATAAAATAAAGAAGGAAGGTAATATAAATGTAACAAATGAAAGTAGAAAGATTATATATGCATGGCAGGAAAGAAAAACGTTAAGTTGTAAAGGTTAATTTGGTCCTAAAATGTTAAGTTTTAAAGTTATGAAAATAGGAAAGATGCATTAATTATACTTTTTATGATTAGTTTGTAGAAGGACAATTGCGTCTCACATTGGTTGAAAAACCAATCATAAAAGATATAATTAATATACTTTTTCAATTTTAATGAAACTTTGAAACTTAGTATTTTAGGACCAAATTAACCTTTAAAATTCTAACATCTTTATTTTCTTTTCCGTTTGTATATATATACATGCATATAACCTTCATTATTTATCTTTTTGTACAATTATCTTTTTATATATATATATATATATATATATATATGCGTGTTGAGGTTGATGGAATCTTTAGTTTTCATCATTATTAAGTTTTAATTAAAGTAATATTATGAGATTAAGTTTTAATTGAATTAAAATTATAGAATTTGAATTTTAATTAATGTGTAAAAAAAAAATAAAAAAAATTTCATAGTTTATTTACAATATGGTTAACTATATATATTTATATATATATATACACACACACACAGGAAAAAAAAATTGAAAAAAATAAGAATGATTTAATAATTCATAAACGATTTGTTTTTATTTTATTTTTTGAATTCTCGGCTTTGTCATTTGGGTATTTCACTGTAAACATAATTTTCCTTTTAATATTAATTAAAAAAAAATAGGCTTTACTTTCCCTTTGATACGAAATGACAAAAATTCGCCATCAGGCCCCATCACCATCATTTGGTGCCTTACCATGATTTTGCTTCACAAAATCTTAGAAAAAGTCAAAGCACCTGAGTCAGCACGGACTGTTACACTGTATATCATAACTCAAAAAGTCAAAATATTGATAAATTGCATAACATTTTAATAAAAAAAAAACTGTTTCCTCTCCTCCTAGAACAACGCTCCGATTCCTACTTTATCGTTAGAATGACAGATTTAACCCTTTATCAGACAACAAACTACTCAGTACTTTAAAAATCCAGGGCAAAATGGATAAGAATCCGTCGAGGTTCAGTCCGACACGTCTGGCGTGTAATACTTATCCAAAATTTATTTTCCCTTCTGGAATAAAATTAGTAGTATCAATTTCCCCAAATTAACCCCTTTAAACTCTGCTACATATACATGTATTTATAAGAGTTTGGTAGTGCCTGATTTTGTTCTGAATGCCATAGCCCATCACAGCGATCAATTCTATTCAATCTGTAAGCTCTCTCTCTCTCTCTCTCTCTCTCTCTCTCTCATACACATATATACATCTATATACATATGTATGTATATTCGTTATTATCTAGATCATCTGTTTCAGTTCGACTCAAGAGTATGTTCAGCATCAATATGTGGTATCAGTCAAACATTTTTTGTGCTTCTAAAATTAAAAGGAACTCTTGATATCAGATATATATTTTTCAGATAGTTCGTTGTACTTGAAAAATAACCAAAGTTTTTGTATCTTAGTTCTTGTAGGTTCATGTACCATAAAAGCCAAAATTATAAGATTTTGATTTTCAAGATTTCTTTTGATTCATTTCAACTTATTAGAATGGCCCAAAACAGTGTTGAGGACTGAGGAGCGTAAGACCTCTCTACAAGCCCTTGTTTTTGGCTATGATTGTTATTGAATTTAATATATTCTGTTGAATATCATTTCTCTAGTGATTGTCTGATTGATGATCTTTTGTACCTTTACTAATGTAGGTTTGTTGAGGTATTTTGCATGTGATGGAAAAAATGAAGGCGGGGAATTACTTTCTATATCTTTTTTGTTTAATCGTGGTCTCCTTTCCAGTGGTAAGAAGTTCTCTTTTTGGTCTTTTGCATAATACATATATAAATTAACTTTATCATATTATATATATATATTGTGAAGTTCAATCAAATTTTCTGTTTTAATTTAAACTTCCATTGGTATGATATTTCCTTTTTTAATATGCTGAAACACTTTACATTCAGATTGCTGTGGCTCCACCGACCTGTCCTGCTAACGAGGGTAGTAAATGCAAGGATAGTGACTCTGATGAATGGAAAGGCGAATTTTTTCCTGGTATCCCCAAAATTAAGTATGAGGTAAGAGTAGGGGTGGCAAACACTAGCACCAACACGAGTTAAAAAGGTTTGGATTTTGCATAAACGGGTTTGGGTCATAAAAGGATCGATGCGATTAAGTTTTACTTAATCTTGTCGAGTTAAGGGAGGGGTTTGTTTATGACCCATTTAACTCAACATGTTATAATCGTGAATATTACCTATGTAATATGTTCTCCATTTAAACCTAATCACTATGGATAATTAAGTCATTTCAACATATGCCTTATGATTCTATTATTTAGTATTTGATTAAATATTAAATGTCTTGTTTTAATAAACTTGATAAACGGGTTGGGTTAGTGTTGAGGGTTGTTGACACGATTATTAAATGGGTTGGGTTTGGGTTTATCTATTTAGTATAATACCCTCACATCGACACGATTATGATCCATGGACACGAATTGCCACCCCTAGGTAAGAGAGTCAAAACCTTTATACTTTGAAAGATATAAACAGAAAGTTTTCAAGACAATGCATTTGGTTCATTTGCATGCACAGGTTTTTTTATTTATTTATTTTTCCGATACAATTCTTATGCCTGGAATTGTATCATTTTATATATGTTTAGGGTCCTAAAACCAAGAACCCGCTTGCATTTAAATGGTATAATGCTGAAGAAGAAATTCTTGGGAAAAAAATGAAGGTTAGTTTTTTTATTTTCTTTCTCTTATGTGCATTTGAAGAGAGATGATTGTCACCAACAAAATTATTTTTGTCCATAGGATTGGATGAGATTCAGTGTTGCGTTTTGGCACACATTTCGTGGGATGGGAGGTGACCCATTTGGTGCACCTACAAAGAACTGGCCATGGGAAGATGGCACCAATTCGTTGGCTATGGCCAAGAGGAGGAGTAATATCAATCTATAGAGCTGCACTCTTCTTTAGTTAGTTCGGACTGTTATACAGCTGGAACTAACTTCTTTTTCTTATTCTTATTAATTGACACAGTGAGAGCTAACTTTGAGTTCTTAGACAAGCTTGGAGTTGACCTGTGGTGCTTCCATGATAGGGATATTGCTCCAGATGGTGAAACCCTAAAGGTGAGCAGAGATTAGATATTATTGTATTTTCATGTTTGATTTTTCAGAATGATAATTGCAAGTGGAAGTGCATGAAGGGAAATGGTTCCTTGCATTTTTTAATACCTTAAAATAAGCATCATAAGTTGTAAAAATGTAGTTTTTTGTCCTTTATTCCTTAATTCATAATGGGAACTACTGTGTCTCTAAGGTTTATTAATTTTATTACGAATAAATTCATTGTAGTATTTTATGTCCGTCACAGGAAACTAATGCAAATTTGGATGAGGTGGTAGCGCTTGCCAAAGAGCTTCAGGTAATTTTACAATGACAATGGCAAATGGCAATTTACAACATATTCAAGCAGGACTTCATGCATCTTAATTCTCTATGGCTGTATGTGAGAGCACCAAGAATGTTTGCTTCTCTTTGAAGGCTAAATTTCCTATGCAAATTTATTTTTCTTCAATAAATGGTTTAAGTGCATATGTTAATTATATTATACCTTGATCAATTTTAATGTTTTTTATCCTGCCTCTCTTCTCAATTATATCTTATTACTGTACAGGGGACCAAAATTCATCCCTTGTGGGGCACAGCTCAGTTGTTTTTGCATCCTCGTTACATGCATGGTGGTGCTACTAGGTAGTTATTTCTATTTCTATTTTGCTACTTGAATATGATTATTGCGCTCACATTCTAGTCAGGATTCATAATTCTTGGGCATTTTGATTACAGCTCTGAATTAGGAGTATATGCGTTTGCCGCAGCGCAGGTCAAGAAAGCCATGGAGGTGGGTGACTTGTGCTGGCATCCTTTAAACCTAAGATGGGTTGTTTCATGTATTCATAACTAGCACTTCTAACGTCAATACTTCAATGAAATGCTAAGTCTGCTATTTTGCACATGCTACAGGTTACGCATTATCTAGGGGGCGAAAATTATGTTTTCTGGGGTGGTCGGGAGGGTTATCAGACCCTTTTAAACACAGATATGGAAAGAGAGCTTGATCATATGGTAGGCTCACCAGCTACTTCTCTTAGTCCCTGAATTACAGAATAAATTTTAAATTTCCCCATGTATTCTTGAGAACAGTCTTGTCTCTTTATTAGTACTGTTTAATTTTCAAAATTTATTTTTGCAAGAAGATAACTGTATAGCAAGGTTTCTTATTTTCATGTGATTTGTTGTCTAACATCTTCAATATTGTTTTTCTTTATTTTCTCTTCTCTTTAATTTACATTTGATTAACTGGTTATCCACTTACAGGCAAGGTTTATGGAAGCTGCTGTTGCCTACAAGAAGAAAATTGGATTCAACGGTACTTCTATGTTCAATTTGTCATGCACCATTTATTAGCAGTATAGAATTGTAGTGTGAAAAATAAATAACTTTATAGAACTAAACATTGCTTTGCTGCTATCAATCTGCCATCTATTTGGACAGATAATATGAGTAATTTGTTTTCGCAATTGGATTTCTTTTAGTCTCCATAATTATTATTATTTTCATTACTTTCCCAAACTTGAAGTGACTTTTCTCCAACACCCACCCCCCCCTTTCTTCTTTTCTCCTCTTGTTCTTTGCAGGGACACTACTTATTGAACCCAAACCTCAAGAACCCACCAAACACCAGTATGGTTCTTGCCTGTTTCTTGTTCTTGATAATTAGGCTCATATTATTCTCTGCCTTAAATTGCAATTGATATCAGGTATGACTGGGATGCTGCCACAACAGCTAATTTCTTGCGAAAATATGGCCTCATAGGTACTTTCTCATACTCTCGAGTCTCTAATCTACTTGCGCTTACCCTATCCAGGTTTTACTCCATCGTTACCAAATCCCTCAAGTTCTTTACTTTGGTATCTTTGCAAAGCAAGCATTATAATTTAACGTCTTCCTTTCAGTTAAAGAGTTCTCTGTATTAGCTCAATGTTAATGAATGTATTTTTTTTTTTTTTTAGGGTTTGGCTTACCAAAGTGTAGAATTTTTTGAAATGATGTTAAAAAAACTCAGGCATTTAAATAAATGGTTAATTACAATTTGCTTCTGAATCATTCCATGCTGAAATACCCAGGGAAGTAACATGTGTACTTTCAATGTCCCCCTGTAGATTATAATTGGGACAATTACAATTACCTCTACATGTGTGCAAAATAATTCAGAAGAATGGATAACAGTTAACTGTTCACTTTTGATTGCTTAAAGTTCAATCGTAAGAAGAACTGGGGGAAGTGGGGGTGGTGAGGTGTCTAATCATTCCCATGAATTCGTCTTTTATAGTATAGAATAAACTGATATTGTGTGAATATGTGAAATTATATTGATAATTAATATCTCAATGAATTGAGTATCAAGAAAATTTTCAACTTTCTTTTTAGTTAATTAATGATAATCCCCAAGCGAAACATGATTTATGATTTCCATCACGAAAATATGAGAAATGCAGATGATAGCACGAGGTGTCCCATAGGGCAACATAAAAAGGTTGATATACCGTGTTATTATGGGTGTATGCATGAATTTGCATACATATCAGCATGGGGAGATAGCCTTGCCACTGTTACTGAATAAGATGCCATAAAAAAAAATATATGTATATATACAGATCAATTGGTTGAATGTTGTGAGTTGCAAAAAGTACAGTAGAACAACAAATGATGATTAGTTGGTTCTACTTTGTTGTTCCACTTAGCCTTATAATGTTATTTAACGTTAGAGTGCTAGATATAAATAGTTTTGACACTCTGTTTCTGGAGTGCGCTTGCCTCACTCAACTGCAAGTGGCAGAACTGAATAAACCCTTTCTGTCAACTATCATCATCATCACATTCATGTTTCACTCCTCTCATGGTCTATTAATCTTTCATCAATTTAGCTTACATATGTGAGTGATGATGATGTTTTGGCCTTTAAGTTCTCCAGATTGACCTCTTTCTTGAAATTCCCATGTGCTCCAGATATTAACAATGCAGATAGGTATATTCATGAGCTTGTTTGTCTGTTTAATCAAGCATAGTAGTAATGATCCTACACTCATATTATCACATTCCAACAAACTGAGTGCAGTCTAATATCTCATAGTTGTCCCAAATTCGTTCCACTTTTTTTTTTTGGCGCAATGGATCTACACATCCAACTTACCAAAACATGTGAGTTAACTATCATGGCTATAAATATGACGTTATAGTCCATCTATGGTATGATTTTAAGCCTCTAATCATCTACAGAAAGAAAATCCTTGTTTGTGATAAAGAAATTGGTGTTTCTGCTCAATCTAGGGTTTTATTAGAAATCATCATAAGTGATTGAGTATTCATCAAGGAGGAATTCCTCAGTGTATCAAGGCATTCCAATTCAAGAAATTTGAGCAGAAGGAAGGACAACCATTGGAGGAGCAGATTCGTGAGGAGCGAAGTCTGTTGACAGAGAGCAGATGATGGCCTGGAGACTTGAGTGGAAAGTTCTTAGTCTTCGTCAATAAGTAACTAAGGTTTCTAATAGAGTAAAGCATTAAATTAGTTACTTCATTCTCATATAGTGGATTGTTGTTCCTGGCTGGATAAGGTCCCCGTGGTTTTTCCTCGTTTAGGGTTTTCATGTAAAAAATTGGTGTCTCTGCTCTTTACTTTTATGAATGCAACAGATAAGAACTAAAATCCAAATCACAGTCAGCGTAACTACTTAAAAGTAACTGAAATAAGAATTAATATCCATAAGTCATATACACCCCTCTTTTGGTCTAATTAAACATTCGCACCCTCAGAGCCTTGGGTGATAGCCCCTGCAGTTACAATCTAACAAGCACAATATTGGAAAATTGTGTCTGAAATAATACAAGCTAAGTCTAAATTTTTTTAAGCTAAGTGTTGAGATGCAATACAAGACCTTTTCCCCCTTCTGACTGGAGGCAAACAATTTATAATTGAAATTCTATTGTGAAATTTTCCTTCATTTCCAACTGTCATTAGGTGCATTTGCTTTGATCTTTCTGTGTATCCTTTATCATGGATCTTGCTATTGACCATCCCAAATGTTAGTCTAGTTCAACAGTTCATATCCTGAATTGATGGCCTATTTTGAAAGCGGTTTATTGAAGAATATTGTCTAAGTAATTAAAAATGATCATGCATCAAATACTAAGTGTTAATTGGTTATCCTTGACCTCTTTGTTGACCTATTCATTTGCAGGACAATTTAAACTTAACATTGAATGCAACCATGCCACCTTATCCGGTCACAGGTTTGAAATGTTCTGTCTCCCAATTCTCAGTTTATTCTCTGGTGATCCATGCACAGGGATGGAAACAGATGGACTATTATTTGAGTCCGACCTTATTGAAATCTAATAATGGAATAAAATTGCATCCACCTGTTGAAATGTGCATCCTATTTATGAAATTTATAATCAAATCAAACTCAAATATTGATGGATTCGATCTCAAATGAGATCAGAGTTCCTCCTTCAAAGTACCAAAAAAGAAAAGTACGCTATCCGTCAGCAGAATTCTATATAAGAACCAAGTAAAGTTTATGTATTATGAGGATAATGTTATAATTTTATCAATCACCATTGAATATTTAGTTATATTACGGTTTAGACTGTAATGAATGAATCTATTTTATTTTGACTATTTAAAAATGAGATATGAACTTGGATTATTATTGGTGAATTGAACATCCATCAGATTTGACAAGATCCACAACAAATAGATGTTTGTACCCTTTATAATTACACTCGAGCATAAATGAATCTGTTCCTTTACAAATTTTTACACTTTTGTGCTTTGCAGCTGTCATCATGATCTTGAAACTGCAAGAATCAATGGTTTGCTGGGAAATATTGATGCGAACACTGGCGATCCTCAAATAGGTACTTCATAGCAAACCTGCTTTCCAAGAATTTACTTGATAGCAAATCTGCTTTCCCAGAATTTTGTAACCTTTTCATCTGCAGTTAAAGACTTGACATAGAAGTGTCCTGCAATTTTAGTTTTGACGAAAACCTTTTGTCACCACTTCAGGCTGGGATACAGATCAGTTCCTAATGGATATAGGGGAAGCAACCTTGGTTATGCTCAGCGTTGTCAGAAATGTATGTGAAATTTTGGCTTTTCTTCACTTAATCGTAGAAGTATCCAGAACTTGTTTCTGTTGATGGATTTATTTAACTGGTTATTGTATTGTTTTTCTATCAATCACAGGGAGGATTAGCACCAGGAGGCTTCAACTTTGATGCCAAATTGTCAGTTTCTTTCTTTCATTATCAGCCTCCTTTTTATTTTTTTTATTATTATTTTTTTTTTCTGTGTGCATTGGGCAAGTGCTTGTGATTTTATGGATTAGGTTTTCTTTTTCAACATAAAATAACATTTTGCCTTGTTGAGGTTTTCGCTTCCTTTTCTCTAGTAATGTAATTTCATGATTGTCTTCTTTCACTGTCAAATCAGCTATGAATATGTGGTAATATCACTGAAGTTTTGTCATCAAATTAGACAAAGCAAAAAAATTCCTTTTGAAACAAGGCTTCTTATGATGTCAGTAGTTTATTTTGTCGGATTTAATGGTGCAATGAAGTTTCTGAGAACATCATTAAATTTGAGGGTAGATGGTAAAATTTCACAGAAGTTAGGTGGGTTTCTGTTTGAATTCTGTGGGCATCTAATGTAGTTTGTTAATTTTCTTACTATTTATGGTTTTGAAGGATGAACACACTTACTTTATGCTTTTATCCATTTAGGCGAAGGGAAAGCACAGATGTTGAGGACATATTTATTGCTCACATTGCCGGAATGGATACCCTAGCCCGTGGACTAAGAAATGTTGACAAACTGATTTCGGTAATATATGTCCTCCTTACCAATTTTATTCCATTTAAGATTTATTTATTTAATTTATCATGATTGTGCCACTAAAATGGTTTTTCTTGTCACAAAAAAAGGATGGTTCTTTGGCTGAACTTGTTCGCAAGCGATATCAAAGTTTTGACTCTGAAATTGGGGCTCAAATAAAGGTAATGTGCTTTCTAGCACCACTTCTCTCTTTATTGTTTTCAAATGTCTTCTTTTGCGTCTAACACACACAGTGCAATCACGCATGCTCCAACAGGCTGGCAAGGCTGATTTTGAAATGCTTGAGAAGGCGGCCATGGAATGGGGAGAACCCAAAGTTCCTTCTGCTAAACAGGTAATTCAAAGTATTGACGTTCAATTTTTACTGTGGCTGCCCGCAATACAGCTGCTTCAAAAATTTTAAAATCACAGAAATCCTTGACTTGATGATTGAAATGAGAGAATGAAACTTTAGAAGACTCCACTGTGGCTCTGACAAAAGGGGAGATAAAATGAACAATAAACACTAGTTTTAACAACTATCTGGAACACCTCTCAACACACACGGTCACACACACGCTAATATCTCTCAATGCTATTTCTGTTGCTCCCAGTGTAAACAAGCCAAGCGAAGCTGAGTATAGTTACGTGATTACATATTTAAGCATTTGTTGCTGGCTTTGCTCTAAATGTAGAGTAATCTTATATTACGAGTAGTTTATACGTATGGTGTCAAGTAAACCTGACATTAGCTGTGTGTAAAATGTTGCAGGAACTGGCGGAGATGATTTTCCAGTCTGTGCTGTAGATCAGCACTTTGCACATGAGTACAAGTTTTAGTTCTTTCATAGTAGCGCCTTGTAGTTTACCAATAATAGAAGCAGCAGTTGCACCCAAGTTGGCTTCATATCTTTCTGAAAAATATATTGCAAGTTGTAACCAACCAATGCAATTAACCAGTTATTAGAAAGAGCCGTTTATCATCTCTCTCTCTCTCTCCCCCCATGTTCGTGTGTCCGCGTGCAGAAGTTTGCGGGTGGTATGGAATTTTGCTTAAATCTAGAATGGATGACGGTAATATGGCATAGGCAAGATGTAGGTAAAAAGAGTTTTACAGTCTAGTGTTACTTTTCCCCCTTTCAAAGCAGGGGGGCAACAAAGTGGTTTGTGTTAGGATTTGAAGAAAAATTAGTTTAATGTTCGAACATAACTCCATCGCACAATTCTATGTTACTGAAGATAACTCCATCGCACAATTCCATGTTACTGAAGATAACTCCATCGCACAATTCCATGTTAAGATAACTTCATCGCAATTGTTTTGTTGATGGAGATGATCGGTGCCTTGCCTTGGAGGTGTTTAGTACTAGTGAAAACTGTTATTGACAAGAAACATCAAAGCAAATTAACAATAATTTTAAATGAATGTTAACATTAAAATTAGTATTTTAAAAAAAAAAAACGAAAGGAAAATATTTGGGTTTGGTGCCAAAGCCTAATATATTTGGGCCTCTCATGTGCTACATTTATATTAGCGGGTCACGTTGTCAAGAGGAGTCACTAATTGGGAGGCCCAGATCGGCCCAGAATTTTAAATTTCAAAGGCCTAGCCGTGAGGCCTCTGGGCTGAGCCCAATTGGCCCAATCAATACTCCTACTATCTAACCTCTGACAGCGAGACAGTTGGCAATGGGCAGCGTTAATTCACAAGAACATTCTAGAAGTGACTTGCTGAGTTTGCATCCTTATCACTTAAGTATTAATGTTTTTCCTATTAGAAGGTTTCAATTTCAAAAGATATTTTAGGTAGAACCTAAGTGGAGTGACCTAATTTATGAATCCCAATTCAATTTAATACGTCCAAAACCCCTAAATTTCGTTACAGCTTGTGTTGTTTGGCCCTAGAATGGCAAAATGGACAGCAAGTCTCCATACCCAACTGGGATTTCATCAATTACTTGACGCCACATTTTCCTTCGCTTTCTCGCCAGCCAATCAGGTATTAACACCCTCCCAATTTCAGTGCTGTTCCAAGGGACATTTGGATAGAATTCAAGTGGAATGAACTAAAACATGTCTCCTTGTGTATCTGAATTTCAAAATAACGTATCCCAAAAATACTAAACTTCGTGACAGGCCACCTTATGTGGTTTGGGCCGAAAATGGCAAAATAAACTTGGTGACGACCAAACCAGCTCAGCTCACATTACCCAATTCATATCTTCAATGAAATTTTATTTATTTATTTTTATTATTTTTTAAAGGATGACAAAACTTCGCAATTATCTGTTATTTGAATTTGTAATTATCAGGTAGACCCTATGGTGAAAGTAGCATTTTAACCACGTAGGGGCCGTTTGGCATGCACTTTGTTTTGGGCGTGAAAGCACGTTTGGAAATGATATTTTGTTGTGAAAATGTCGGAAACAGTAATGCTACTTTTATGGTTTTGGGCCATTAATATTTTGATTTTAAATGACTATTCACGAAGTGTTTTAATACTGTGTAAAATAAAATAAGATCGCATCAAATATGCTTTTATTACAAAATTTAACACTATAATAATTTAAAAATAAAAATAACAAAAATAAAACACATCTTAAATGGAGCCTTAGGGGCTCTACTCCCACCAACTCGTGCCACACTGTTGGGAGTATATTCCGTGACTTGAGGTCACAAGTTGGCTTTATATTTTTTTTCCCTATCCAATAAATCTTAGCACCTTCCCAAGTCAGCGCGGAGTATCATTGCTCGCCCACAAAATGATGTGAATTCATATCCACTTGTATATGGATATTGGATAAAATGATGTGTTTGATGCATTGAATATTGTCAATACTAAAAATCTGAGAACCCGCGTTAAACTTGGATGGATTTCTGATTCGATAAGACGAATATAATTTAATATTTAATTTGATAATATATTAACAATTCAAACTCGATAATTTGTTAAATTCATATCAAACTAAATCAAGTTTGAATCGAGTCTACTTTCACCATATTATATTAAAAGTGGACTTACACTCATAATATAATAAGCGTATATGCACAATATCCGTACCATAAAGATTCTTTTTGCACTTTGTAGGGCTGATGCAAAAAAAAAATATATGCACAAATTTCATATTACAAGGGATTTTTAAATAGTTGGGTGATATTTAAACTTATTTTCAGTAAATGATGGTTTTATTTACGCAATAGATAGTATATAAAGGTTATATGCATCATTTATGTATTAAAAGGGTGGTGGTGGTTATTATTATTATTTTTCACTTGCCTATACATATATTTTAGTGACAAATTGTAAATGTTTGTGTTATAAATGTGTTAATCCAATTAATTCACTAAATAAACTAGTTGTGTTAGGATTTAGAGACTAAAAATCTTCAACTTGATTTGACTCAATTAAATAAACTCATCGTATAAATCTTACTATAAAGGTGATCTGAATTTACAAAATATAATGAAACAGTAAATAAATTAATTATGAGATTCTGCATCCAACCTTGATAATTCGATAACTCGAATATAATTTAATATTTAATTCGATAATATAGTAACAATATAAACTCGATAACTTATTAAAATAATAAATCATATCAAACTAAATCCGATTTGAATCTTTGACAGGTCTATTTTTACCATATTATATTAAAATGGACTTGCACACATAAGAAAATGAGTGTATATGCACAAAATCCATATCATAAGGATTATTTTTGCACTTTGTAGAGCTGATAATATATGCACAAATTCCATATTACAAGGGATTTTTAAATAGTTGGGTGATATTTATACTTTTTTTTAATGAACGATGGTTTTATTTACACAAAATATAGTAGTATATAAAAGTTATATGCATCATTCATGTATTAAATGGGTTGTCCTTGTTTTGTTTTTTTCACTTGCCAATACATATATTTTAGTGACAAATTTAAATGTTTGTTAAAAATGTGTCCTGTTTTGCTTCAGGATTTAGAGACAAAATCTTCAAACTTGATTTGATTCAAATTGATTCATGTCTGGTTTATTAATTTTTTTTTTTTTTTTAACAAAATTAGAAATGTTAGACGTTAGATTAGTAAATGTAGAGAATCGAAACGAGACGAAACTTGACACTTTAAAATTTAGCAGAGACATTAACCCATTGAGTTATCGATACAATTGCATTGTACTATAATGAAACACTGAATAAATTAATCATGAGATTTTTTGAAATAATGAAAAACTTAACTATTCTATAATTTGTCATTTAATATTTCAATTTCTATTTTTACATGCGTATTTAATAATTAAGAAAAAAAAAAAACAGATTAGATGATCTACATGTCACTTAAACGGTGTCGAATTAAATAAATTAGCAGTAGATCATATTTATATGTTAAGCTAAATTACCCTGTTCGTATCTTGACCCTCCTAAGAAATCAACATCAGTTTAAAGATTTATAATTTGGGTTGACACGTGTTGGTCTGTGGTCAGCAGGGCAGCTAGACAACGAATTCCCCAAATTACCCTCTCGATAGTAGTGAAGCACAAGATGCATATCAATTAGTGCAACCGCGGTACACCGACCGACCACTTCTACTGCCAAAATCTGACAGCGACACCATTGATTTGCACAAGTGCTAGTAAAGGACACGGACCAAGGAGGTCTCAAGGGCATTTTCGTCCAACAAAAAAACTCGGCTCACGCACTGAATGACGTATAGAGGACGGTACCGGATTACCCGATTCCTGGGTTACCTTTTCTGGAATCGGAAACGTCACTTGTGGACACTTATTATTTTATTATACTTGTAATTATTTATTTGGGACACAGTGCGAAGATAATGATATATTGATTTGGTTTATTATTAATTAAAGATGGTCGGCTTTAAATAAATTTTAAGAATTTTGAGAAGGATCAATAGCTCTTCCGTAGAGGTCTTGAAGAGTCACCTAACCTAAGACCACCTATTTTGGCACCACACATGGTCCAATCATAATTCAGCTTTTGATCTTATTGGATTATTTTAATTTAGTAATTAAACAAAATTTCAGTTTATCAGTGAACACAAAAAGTTATATGTATGCTTGTACAAAAAGACAAGAGTGAGTGGGGATTGTGAGGGTAGGAATATGCAATTGATATGTATTTGATTTATTATTTTAATAAAAAAAAATAATTAAAATTTGAAAAAAAAGTTAATCATAAATGACTTCTTCACCTTTTGAGTGCGAGCTAATTAGAATTGTGCAAATAATAGAAATTATTTGATACTGAGAAATATTGATAATATTTTATTCAGGAGTCTGAATAAGTTGTGAGTAGTTATTTTTTTATTATCAAAGAATGTATGATATTATTTGAGTATTATGATACTCTCGGTTAATTGTGAGTAGTTATTTTTTAATTATCAAAGAAAGTAGCAAGTATTTATTCGTTAGCATTAATCATGAATACTTTATATTCCATGTACAAAACACATCCAATTTAGCATATAATTAGAGTGGGCTTAAAAACAATTGATGATAAATGATTCATCCTTGTATTAAGTGATTCTTTTACATAGTAAAATAAAATTATTGACCTAAATATCCTGAGAATTTTTGGCCCCTGCTCCACACAATGCTTTCGTCATAAATCTTATATAATATTTGTCAAATTTTATTTATTGTGAATCTCAACTGTGCAAGCATACAGAATCAATGTATGACACAATATTCAAGAAACAAAAAATTAAAAACAAAATAATCCAAAATGGCTTTGCTCCCATGGTGCAGATCATATAAAATTTAATAAAATATTGAGATATGTTAATGGCCAAAAAGAAAGGAATGGGTTTCATTTATTGACTTCTTGACAAATGATGAAAATTAAGCAAACATTAACATGTGCCACACATTTAAAATTCGAGACGAGTTTCACAATGTATTCACAATTTTGAAATCATTTTTACTTTTTCATATTGATATTATTATGGGTTAAGAATAATATATTTGGCGTAAAAGTAAATTACAGAAGGTAAAAATCTCGTGATGGATCTCTGAATTGGCTGTAACTTTACAACTTGAAATGAAGAACAGGTCGCCCCATCACAGTGCGTTTGACGATGATTTTATCAGACAAGCCACGTGGGCCCTACGTCGGCACAGACAACTGACAACTACTTAACATAATAAAATTTGATATTAATTTCATGTGGCCAAGGCCCATGCACGTGTCCAGACCGCACTCGTCAGCAACTAGATTTCGCCTCTCTGACTCAGCTTAGATAGATAGATAGAAACCAAACCAAACATCCTCATCCAGCAAATGAAATCAACAAGAGCTTCTTAGCCCTGTCAACTAGCTAGAGAAAGACTCTGTTAGTATTATTATTACAACAGTAGTAGTACATTACATTACACGACTACTGAGTTATTAGTATCATTATAGAGCGAGAAAGTAGGAGGATAGAGAGAGAGAGAGAGAGAGAGAGAGACATGGGGATTGAAGAAGCCGGTGGCAAGAGTTTTCCGGCGGGGTGGAACATGGCGACGAAGCCGTGCGACTCGTGCAAACTGGCGGTGGCGTTGCTGTTCTGCCGAGCTGACTCGGCGTTCATGTGCATGGACTGCGATTCCAAGATCCACGGAGCCAACAGGCTGGCCTCCAGGCACGAGCGCGTGTGGATGTGCGAGGTGTGCGAGCAGGCGCCAGCAGCCGTCACGTGCAAGGCGGACGCCGCCGCCCTCTGCGTCACGTGCGACCGCGACATCCACTCCGCTAACCCACTCGCACGTCGTCACGAGCGCGTCCCCGTCGTGCCCTTCTATGACACTGCTGAGGCCGTCGTCAAGTCCACCGCCGCCGCCGCCTTCCTTCTTCCCGCCACCGAAGACTGGACCACCGTGGCCGACGACAATCCAAATGTTCACTCTGGCCTCGCGGATGCTGAAGCTCCGGCCTCCTGGATGGACCTCCCAAACCCTAATCCCAAAATTTTAACCGATGTTCCGGACATGAAGTCCATCGAACTCTTGTTTTCCGATTCCGATCAATTTCTGAATTTGGATTATCCGATCCCGTTCAACACACAGTTCCACCAAGAACAGCGCAACTCTGGCGCAGATAGCGTAGTTCCAGTTCAAACAGTCAAAGCACCTCTGCCGGAAAAAATGATGAAATACTCGCCGGATAACTGTTTCGAGATCGATTTTACTCAATCCAAGGTTAATCTCACACTCAAATTTTAAAATATCAGATCTAGAAACTACTTCTCTTAAATACTTATGAAATACCATTTCTGCTCACGAACGAAATTGAAATAATTATATAATTGATTATGGTTTTTCCAGATGTCATCGTCGTCAATGGACGTGGGAGTGGTACCGGAAGGGAGCTCCATGTCGGATATGTCGTACTCATTTGGTCAGAATATGAGCAGCAGCATGGATCTGGGTGGGTCTGCGATGAGTCAGGTGTCGCAGCCGTCGGGACTGGACAGGGAAGCTAGGGTTTTGAGGTACAGGGAGAAGAGAAAGAACAGGAAGTTCGAGAAGACGATTCGCTACGCTTCTCGAAAGGCATACGCCGAGACTCGGCCGAGAATCAAAGGCCGGTTCGCGAAGCGGACCGAGGTCGACTCGGAGGTTGATCAGATGTTGTTCAGCTCTGGTTCTTCAGGGTTCATGGTAGAGGCTGGATACGGCGTCGTTCCATCGTTCTGACGGATGGATGAGGGGAAGAGTTTGACTCTAGTACTACTATTCTACGTTCAACTGTAATATATATTTCTAATTTGAAATAATCGGACGGTGATTAATGTTGGTATCTTGAATTTTTGAGGACGGAGTGTTTTCTGATGTTTGGATCGGAGGGCGTTCTGACCGTTGATCTGAAAAAGAGTATGGTATTCATGTGTTTTTGGAAGTGATTATTATGCTGCTAAAAAAAGCCCAACTACTTTTTGTTGAAGGGGTTGTTGCAAGTGTTAGTCAACTTTTTCTTCTTTTTCTTTTTCTTTTTCTTTTTCTAATGAGTAGATCTGTTTCTGAATTCTGATTGGTTTGACGGATCTTTAGTGTTCTGATTTTCTAAACCGTTGATTATTTTAAAACTAGGTGGAGTTTGGTTTCTCGTGTTTGAAAATTGAATAAATTAGTGAAAGAATATGCATATGCTTCAACAAAAGCTTCCCATTTTTCTGGAACTTTTTCTGAATCTAACAATTGGGTTTGGGTTTGGGTTAAACTTATGACTGTTGAAGTTGAATAAAACGAAAAGGGCATTTAGTCATGGTCTTTTGGTTCTTATGCCATGTTTGGTAGAAGGTAAAACAAACAAACAAAATAAAAAAATAGAAATAAAAAGGGATGAAGGAAAAAGGAAAAAGGAAAAAGGAAAAAGGAAAAGATAACTCCTTTCTTTGGTGTGGAATAGAGGAAAAGACGGAAAGAGAGATCCGGATTTGTCAAAAGTACCGGATTAAAAAAGAAAACAAAAAAAAAATGTTTCCTTTATTCAGGGAAAAGGAAAGGAGAACACCTTCCCTGGTGAGGGAAGAGGAGGTAGGATTTGTAAAAAATTCGACAGTCTGAATTGGATTGAAAAGGGGAGGGAAGGGATATAATCACTTTAAAGCCGATAGGCTAAACTGATTTGAAAAGGGAAGAGAGGTAGAGTTGCAAATAAACTAAGGAGAGCTTCAGTGTATTACGGGGATCTTGACGAGCTCAAAAAGTTGAGCTTGGAGTTGGCACATCAATATTGAAGTCACTTGAATTTTGAAATTTGCGCACTCTGCTAGCTTAATAATAAAAATTGTCCGGACTTGATTTGAGCTTGTGTTTAAAATATTTTTGATTCATAAATTTTTGTTCATGAATTTATACAAGTCTATATTTATGAACGTGTTTAATAAAATAATATATTTACGAACATATAAGAGCTTCTGTTTATGAGTGTGCACGAGTTAAGCCCAATATTATTTATAATTGACTCATTTGTTAAACGAACTTAGAAATTGAATTTGAACTCGATTCATTTCTTAAGAGAACGAGTACGAGCGAAGTCTCCGCTATTTGTAAACAATTTAGTTCATTTGCACGGAAGGGGTAGGGTCACTTAAAGACTCTGTTGCCTTGTCAATCTATTATAATATCTGCCAATATGCACATATGTATATAAATATACCCATGATCTATTTATGAAATGCAAACAAATAAGTGTATAAGTATGCATGTACAAAAAGTTTGCTGGTCCAGCTATATCATGAGGGCATCCTCTTGAATTCTAAGTTCTAAATTGTTTAATATTTGCAATTGTATAATTACCAACTGGAAAAACAAAACAATTGAATGCTCTGATATGTTGTTATGATAAAAACCAAAAAATACCGATGTTTAAGGAATAATCACAAATAATCAAAAGATAAGAACAATTATAAGAATACAAGATATACGTGGTTTATCAAAAGTTACGACTACGTTTAGAAATACATTGAATAAATTTCACTGTGAATATGAATTAGGATTACAATGGAGATTTTTATCTCAAACTCTCAATTTGCTACTCTTTCTTGTGTAGGCACAAAATTAAGACACTCACAATTCTCACACAATTGTCCATGGATTGTCTCTCACAAAATCTTCACTCACTTTTGCATACATGTCACTTTGTGTCTCACTCTCACTCACACCATACACCCTAAAATTCGATTAGAATTTGTATAAATAGTCCCATAAAAAGAGAATACAACTTGCCCCATAATTCTAGCCTTTTCGGAGAGTCAAAAATCAATTTGAAAATTAATTAAAAAAAAATTTCATTAAAGATGAACCTGTAGAAAGAAAACTTAAACATGTTTAATTGAGATTACATTCACGTTGAACAAGTTCAAGAAAATTTTGAACAGATTCAATTGGAGTTACAATTATGACAAACAGGTTCAAGAAAAACTTGAACAAAGTTTATTTTAGTCAATAATTAAAATCTTCAACTAATTTATAATAAGTCTTAAGTGAAATAACCTTCACAACCTTAACAAAATCTTTCATGAAGATCATTCCTCTTACTTACTTGTTACCTTTTTACTCATGAGAGATATTATTTCCGTCTCATTTTAAATGTTATTTTTAAAAATTGTGACTCACATTATTGACATTTAAAATAAGACTAACATAGTACTATATTTTACTTTATTCAGGGAATATGTCTTTCGTACTTTCAAAGTTCGCACTTTTGTACCTTCAAAAAAAAACAAAGCAAAAAGTTCTCACTTTTGTATCATCATACAGAGTACTAAATCTGAACCGAGGTAGTCTCTCCTCTTCTCAGAACTTCATCGAGTATTCTTATTCAAAAATAAAATAAAACAAAAAACAATTATGGTCTTTCCTTCTCTTTTTTTATCTTCTCCCTTCAGATAATTATGTGAAAAGTCAATATATTTTATAATCAATTTGGTGTTACGCACGTGCATAGCATGACATATTATTTCTTACAAGACAAACCGACCATTACCGCCCAGACGATGACATGAACTGGTAAACAAAAATAGTAGTAAGTCATAGTAAACCTCTTTTTTATTTTATCCTTACCTCGTTTGGTAAAATGTATTTACTCACTAATAAGTGGAGTCAAAAGTAGTGTATTAAATAAAAATGAAAAAATAAACTTTTTTTAAAAAAAAATCTAATGAGCAGCTTCCTACAAGCTGATTCGACTGGTGTCATTTTAACATTCTGAAAAGAAATAAAACTTTATAATTCAATATTTCAACTTGATAAATAGGATATTCTTTGTCAAGCAGGATATAAGTCCACTATATATAACATGTGGTAATTAATTATGATTAAGGCTTGGAATTTCCTAAAAAAAGAAAAAAATTTGCAAACTCCAAATATTTTCTTAAAAAATGATACATCCTCGAAATTCGAACTATGTTGATTGTGTATTGTGTGAGTTCTACCATATGACATGATGTGTTCACACATAAATTATGAGAGAGAATCAACACTTCATGCAGATCCTCATTATCATCTTACTTAATTTCTTATGTATATAATTAAAGGTCTTAATTATAAGATCATTTAATATTTTCTCACTCTGTTTCTCTTAATTGTTGGAAGGATTGTTAAGGGGTTAGTGCCTCAATTGGTTAATTAAACATGAAAGAAAAATTAATACCCATAACATGTATATGGTCAATCTTAATTATAACCGTCAATCTTAATTATAACGGTCTATCTCCAAGCCAGGATAGTGAATGCTTCTATTAAACTTGGGATATTGAAATTTGAAATCAGAAATACCTATCTTACTCTTGCCTACCCACCCTTAAAGGGCTGAGGAGCTCATATTATAAGTGGGTGCTTGGTTCTTTTTCTTTTCTTTTTCTTTTTATTTTTATTTTTCTTTTTTTAACTCGGCAAGAAAACCTCCATACGGCATTTTTGGAAAAATTGTTATTTTTTTTTTCCTAATCTTGGCCGTAGTCTTGAGAAATTGGTTGTTTTTGAAAAAAATGTGTGAGGTTTTAACACGTCAGTGACATAGCGATACTAGATTCTTACTTTTTTTAAAAAAGTTAGAGGGTCTGAACTTCAATGAAAGTACGTGTGTGTGAGTACCAACTAAAAAAAAGTGTGAGGTTTGACCAAGTGAGATCTAGTAGTATACACAATCTCGAAGAAGTGTTTTAGTTTTCAAAAGGGGTAGGGTTGGATGTTTAATGAGAAAATAGCATATACAAGTAAACTATATATGATGTCTATAATTGTAAGTTGTGTTAGAATGAAATTCTACCATAAATGATAGCTTAATAAGAAGGCGGGAGTTCAATTTCCCCTGACCATTTTTAGACATTTTTTTGGGTAATTTTTTGGTTTGATGAGGGGATTATATGTGTCCGGTGGTGAATTATAGTGTATTCTAAGAAACCCTAAATAGATCACTGCGTTACACAATGGCTAATTTTTGGCAAGTCTTTCGAAGGTATAGCTAGTTTTTGGCATGTTTTTTTTTAAAAATTTTCACAATACTAACGTATTATAGAATATTTTAAAAAGTTCTAAATATATCACCGTGTTAAACAATATTTAGCTAGTTTTTGGCATGTTTTTTTTGAAAATTTTCACAGTACTAACGTATTATAGAACATTTTAAAAAGTTCTAAATATATCACCCTGTTAAACTATGGCTAGTTTTTGGCATGTCTTTCGAAGATATGGCTAGTTTTTGACATGTCCTTTGAAGATTTATGGACTGACAAGCATGAGAATGTGTATTTGAATGCTCAAAAGGTTCACTTTATGTAAATTAATAATGTCCAAGGTTAGATGTATATTTAATTCATCCCTCCCAACGCTGTCAATTAATGAGAACACACTTGATGGTGATCTATACACACACAGGAGATGTGAGCCGAAGTAGAAGGTTGATTTGTTCCCAGCCCCTCGTGGGCTGGTCTCACTTCATAGTGGCATTGGCCTTCCCTTTTGACTCATCTCCTCCAATTAGGTTAAACAATTATTCTTTTTCTTAAACATTAATGACTGCACTAATCACGTGCTAATAATATCTTTGCAAAGGTGTGTGGATCAAAAATCATATTGACTGGTGTCTTTGTCCACTACATGACAAGATTTGAAATTATCATAATTAAACTCCTTGCCTTTTTAATTTGCTCAACTTTTGAAGCATTGTTGCACATACCACACGGTCTTGACTCCTGAATTTGGAACTCAAGACTTCTTACAGCCTCATTTGTTGTTGCTTCAATTGTGTTACAAACCATATAATGTGCATGCCCTACTGTGAATTGCAGTGCACCACCCTAGCTATTTCAGGCAAATGTGTTCCATGTGTGATAGCGGACAATGACCCAGGTCATTGACTTAGGTGGTATAACCTCCTCTTTTTACGAAAGTTTGAGAATACAAGTGGGGGCGCAATTTTTTACACTCGAACACCTAAAGAGATCAATTATGGAGAACACACAGAAAAAATCAAGAAGGGAAACAAGCAAATCTTTGAGATAATAGTAATATTCAGAG